TCTGCCACCCTTTGTCCCAGTCCTCCTTAGCGAATGAAGAACTGAATCCCCAAAGCCCTGGTACGTACACTCCAGGTCCTCCTCCCCTGGCTTCTCCCCTTTCCCTGCCCCCCCCCTTTTTGGGGGAGGTTTTTGCTATAGGACATGTGCACCCACCAGAAAGACAGAGAAATCACCCCCTAGAAGGGATGGCCACACCTCAATCCCTTCTCCTCCATTCTCCTCTCGGGATTTTGGGCACGCACACACACGCACCCGGCGTGAGTTTCAAGCCACCGGGTCCGGGACGCGAACCTTGGTCGACTACGTGGGAGTCCAGCAACATAGCCATTACGCTAACTGCTGGTCCCTTTCTGCAGAGTTTTGATGTCCTGCAACTCCTTGGCATTCTGCTCCAGGCTCTCCTTCTCCAGCTTTATGTCAACAAGAGGGGCAGCGTAGGGCTCTGGGGAGGCCCCCTCCAAGTTCCCCTCTTCCAGCTCCCACCTCGCCTTCAGCTGGGATGTCTCCAGGCTGTTTTGGGGCACCAGCCCAACTCCAGCTGGAGCCCCACAGTAAGCCATCCCTCTGCAGAACTTATAGAGCGGGGGGCACAGAGGAACCCCCCACATCTCAGAGCCTGGCCTAACCCCTGGGCCCGATTCCTGCTCCACCAGGAGGGCCTTAGAAGCTTAGCCAGGTCCAGCCACCCCCTCCCCCCCCTTGCCCATCACCTCCACCTCCACATCCCGGGAGTGGGTGAGAAGCCAAAGTCTGAAGCCAGATGTCTTGCCACAGAGAAAGAAGGTTCCCCAAGCTGGGGAGCCTGGAGAAATCTGTTTTTTTTTTTTTTTTAATTTGCTACAGAGCATGTGCACTCCCCTGAGAGAGACAGAGGGAGAGAGGGAAAGTGCAAGAGCACCCTCCGTGGGGCGTGGTCATTCTGCAGCCCATCCTCCATTCCCCCATCCTATCGGGATTTGGAGCACACCTCGTGCCTCGTGAGTTTTTCAAGTCCCAGGTCCAGAATTTGAATCATGGTCAGCCATGTGGGATTGGCTCCCGTAACCACCAGGCTACGAGACCCACCTTAGAGAGAGAGAGACAGAGAGCACCCTCAACAAAGTCCTGATGCCAAGATCCACCCTGGCGTCACCAGCTCTGAGTCATAGGCACACGTGTGCCCAGCAGGCTCGGGGAGGTCTCTGGACATGAGCCAGGAACCCCTGTGTGCGGGTCAGGCAGAGTGCATGCGTCGCAGGCGGGTACCCTCCAGCTCCAGTCCTGAACCTCTTCCATCAGACAGTGGACCCCAGGACTTAGAGATGTTTCGTTCTGCATCCGCTCCCCAACCTGGGATGTGGGGGGCTTTGCTTTGTTTGCTGCTGTATTCACAGGTGCTAGGAGGGGGCCTGGCACACAGGAGCTCTTGGTACGTGCTTGTTGAGAGAATGCCTGAGCCGGTTCAGGGGACAGGTATGCGTGAGGAGCGTGGTGAGGGCAGGAGACCAAGGCCCGTGCTTCTCTCCCTTTCTCTGGCCTCTAGCATCTTCTCTTTCTGTAATAAGTGATCATAATACAAAAAGGAAAGAAACCTCTGTGCTGGACCTTCCGGCAGCTCTGCCTAGTCAGTATTTCAAACAGACGGGCCAGCAGGTGGTGTGGTGGTTAAGGCACTGAACTCCCTTATGTTTGTTAGCAGTTCAAGACCCAGGTCCCGTGGCTTGAAACTCATGCCTAGCACATGTGCGTGCGTACCCAAAATCCCAGGAGGAGAATGGAGGAGATCGCAGCATGGCCATGCCCCTCTGGGGATGGGGTAGTTTCTCACTTTCCCTCTCACTGTCCCTCTGTCTCTCTGCACTTTCCCTCTCACTGTCTCTCGGGCATGCACCCTTTGAGGAAAAAAAAATAAACTAAGAAAAAAAAGAAAATTTCAGAACAATTTTTAAAGAATTATTTATTCAATTTTATTCATTAATTTATTTTAATTTAACCAGAGAGAGACACAGAGAGAGATTGAGAGAGAAAGAAAGAGAAAGTGAGAAAGCAAGCCACCAAGTCTGGGACTCAAACCATGGTCGGCTATGTGGGAGGATCCAGCACCTTAACCACCATGCCACCTGCTGATTCCCCAGAACATGGTTTTTTCTTTCTTTTTTTTTTTTTAATTTAACTTTATTTAAATTTGGCCAGAGAGGGACAGAGCCAGAGGGGGGACAGTGAGAAAGCAAGCCACCCGGTCCAGTTGTGGTCGGCCATTTGGGAGTCTGGGGCCCTCAACCACCACATCACCTGCCAACCCCTCAGAACAATTTTTTAACCACTAGGTTATGGGGCCAGCCCACTCATTTTTTCCCTAAAGTTTATTCATTTCTCCTAAGAAAGAGAGATAGAGGCGGGCACTTTCAACAGGGCCTCCATGCGGTAGCCGGCCTGGTCTCAGCCAGGTTAGATGTGGGGCCTGTGAGCACACACCTCAGCATGCTCAGAGAGGTCCCAGGATGCAAGCCCAGGACCTTTCCTCGTGGGTCCGGTTGCATTACCGCTAATCCACTGCCTGACCCAAGGGGCACTTCTTTCTTTCTTTCTTTCTTTCTTTCTTTCTTTCTCTTTTTTTTTTTTTGAGAGTTTTTTTTTTTTTTCACTATACGGTGCGTGTGCTCGCCAGACAGACAGAGAGAGACATAGAGACAGAAAGCAAGAAATCACCCCCCAGGGGGGATGGTCACGCCGCCATCCCTTC